GACATCTCTGCTTTTCAACACTTTAAAGAGGTCTTCTGCAGCAGATTTGCCCAACATAATACGTCATTTGATTTCCTGACTGCGGCTTCCGTGGGCCGTGATTGTGGATCCAAGTAAAATGAAATCCTTGACAACTTCAATATTTTCTGTGTTTATCATGATGTTCCTTATTGGTCCAGTTGTGAAGATCTGTGTTTTCTTTACAATCCATACTGAAGGCTATAGTCTTTGATTTTCATCAGTAAGTGCTTTAACTCCTCTTTGGTTTCAGCAAGCAGGGTTGTGTCATCTATATATCTCAGGTTGTTAATGAGTCTTCCTCCAATCCTGATGCTACATTCTTATAGGGTCCCTATAATTCTAATCCCTACCTATATTTGGTATGATCCAGATTCTACTGTTTTGCTGGTCCAATAGGTATAAAGTGCTATCTTCTTATTGTTTTAAATTTCATTTTCATATGATTGTTAGTTTTGAAGATTTCCTCTTCTGTAAATAGCCTGTTAATATCCTTTGTCCATTTTTCTATTGCATTTGTTGTCTTTTTTTGGATTATCTGCAGGAATTCCTTATATATTCTAGATAATGGTTTTACCCATTGTCGTTGACTTGATTCCGACTCATAACGACCCTACAGTACGGAGTAGAACTAACTGCCCCATTGGGTTTCCAAGGAGTGGCTGGTGGATTTGAACTGTCAACCTTTTGGTTAGCAGCCAAGCTCTTAACCAGATAATGGTTTCAGGTATTGTTAATATCTTCTCCCATTCTGACACTTTTCTATTAACTTTGTTCATAGTGTACTTCATGAAATAGTAGAAATCTTCAATTTTGATGTGATCAAATCCTCAATAATTTTTTCCTTGTGGCTTAACATTTTGAAATTTTGTTTAAAAAATGCTTCCCTAGCCTTAGATCACAAAGATAATCTTCTACACATTCTTTTAAATTTAGGTCTTAAAATTTAAAGACGTAGTGGTTAAGAGCTCAGCTGCTAACCAAAAAGGTCAGCAGTTCAAATCCACCAGCCACTCCTTGGAAACCCTATTGGGCTGTTCTACTCTGTCCTATAGGGTCTTTATGAGTCAGAACCAACTCAATGGCACCTAACAACAATAACCCATTCAGAGTCCACCTTTGTACGTAGTGCTAGGTAGGGAGGTACTTTTTTGCCATCTAGTGAGCCAGTTTTCCTAATACTATTGACCAAGCAATGTCTTTCCTCCGTGAATATACAACAGGGTTATCACTTTGATCTTATATTAAAGCCCATATATTTAGGGGTCTGAGTTCTCTATTATATGCGGTTGGTCTATTTGTCTGTTTTATGTCAATACCACACTTGTTTTCTTGGGTTTTTTTTTTTTTAATCTCAGCTTTGTGCTGTGTCTTGACAAACTGCTAAGGCAAGTCTGCTCCTTACTTTTCTTTCATTTTTAATGCTTCTTTTGATAAACATATAAATTATTCCTTCATGTGAATTTTAGAGCAAATAAAGTAAATTGAATCCCTATTAAAAAAAAAGACTCCAGCGGCCCCATGGACAGATCCAAACTCCCCGAGGGACTGAGTTGCTGGATGGAGGGCTCTGGGGACCATGGTCTCGGGGAACATCTAGCTCAATTGGCATGACGCTACTTATAAAGATAATGCTCTACATTCT